GGCTGTCTGCCCCGCCGCGCTAGCGGTGACCTTGCCGCTTGGCAACTTTAATCCTATTTTATTTAAAAATTACTAGTCATGTAGAAATTTTATAAAAACAGTAAATTTTGTCTTAATGGTATGCATAAATTTTATTAAAAAGATCCTTGGGTTGTCAGGCAATCAATTTGGTTATTACCTAAAATTATAATGAATGAATTGCTAGACATTAAGTCCAAGCGCGTGCGCATTGGCTTTCGCCTGCTGCACGTACATGTGCGTTGGACTTGGTGGTGATTGTAAATTTATATGTTTGGAGTTATAAATGTAGTGGTATATTTATTTTCTTTAACCTAAAATCTAAGTAAAGTTCGTCAGGACGTAACACTCTCTCAATCTTCTTTCACCTGTTCTCACGGAAATATTCATGTTCGTCCTTCCAAGATTGTCAGCCACTGCATCAAAAGGATGATCTCCTACTATTTGCTTTAGTTGTTGATCATCATCGGTGGTTGTTTTGCGTGGACGTTTATTCTACTTTCTTTGATCTTTGATACGATCGATTCCGTAATGTTCATAGCGTAATGTCCATCGATCAACTGTGCTTATATAAACATTAACCATTTCAGAAATTTCTTCAACTGATTTACCAGCCTCAAACAATCCGATAATTATTGATCGTTCAGATTCAGGAAGATTCGCGTTAGGATGTCTGATCATCATAGCTTTAATACAATTAATATGTGGTTAATAGAAGAATTAATTTCAATTATAATTAACTGATTACTTCACTATTACTAAACTAGATTACAACTAAATTGGTTACAATTTACATAGGAACCAATTTAAAAACAATAGAATGTTATCATCGTTACTAATATCTTAAAATTATTTGAGTAATTTAATTTAATTTATAATATTTATGGAAATATTTAATTTTAAATATATGAAAAAATAAAAAAAACATTTATTAATAAAATACTTCACTTTTATTTTCTGATTTTCCATCAGGAATTTTATAAATTTTAAACCACTCGATTGTTGCCTTCAATAAACCAGGATAGTGTTTTCCCACATCTCCCATATCCAAAATTAAATATACTCATCTAATATTTCATGTTAAAATTATAAGCTGCTTGAAAGATAATTACACGTTATCTAATACTATGCAATCATCTTATAAAATGTGGAAAAGTAAATCTTACCTTGGTAACTTTATATTGTTTTTTTGTTTTGATGCTAAGAATCAATTCTGCAAATTTATTAGAAAAAAATTCATTATTTTATGATGATGATATTACACTCCCTTGTCGGTATATCATTGGTGGAGGTGTTCCTTCACCTGCATTTCTTAGTTCTTTGTTGAGAAGTTTCACTTATTCTACCATTCTGGCTTCAAATTCAGCTGGTGTTAAACCTGGAATTAGCCCTACAATAGATTGATATTATTGATGAACGAAAAATAATTATTTTAAAGTTAATCAAGAGTATTTGCTTTGTGTAAAAAATAAGATGAAATTTAATAAATAAACACTACAAAACTAATGTAGATAAAACTGTTAAAGTTTCCTTGTGGATGTTGAGAATGATGTGGTGAAGGAGTATGTGCTGCACGTCCATTTGCTAATGCTTGGTGCTGTCCACCTACCCCCGTGATCAGAGATAACGGAAACATTTGATCATTCAAAGTCAGTGAATAAGGTGTGTGAGGACTTCTTAGAATCATACTGTCACTACCGCCGCAACCATATGCTCCATAACTGCTTCTATGTCCTTCTTTTTGATTTCCATCAACTGCTCTTTGGAGTTGACTAGACACTCGATGTTTCTCACATTTATATAAATATAAATACTCTATGTATTTTAACAAAAAAAAAAAAAAATTATTATTATTTTTCATACAACTTTCAATATGTTTATAAAGTTTATGTTTACATTTGAAAAATTACTACCTTTTCTGAAAAATGTTTACCGGAAATCGCTATGTTTCCTCTATTCACAAAAATTCAGGTATAACAACTTATAAAAAAAAATCCTCTAAAAAACTCAAACAGCATTAATGTCGCGTAGTGTACATTACGCGACATGAATGATGTCTGATTTTGTTAGTTTTTTTTTAAGGTTATATATACGATTCCCTATACCCTTCTATACCGAATTAACCCTTCAGGACTGACGTTCATCGTACCGCATAGATTACTGACGCCATGATAACCCTAAAGTTAGCAGACGTTTGAATTTTTTTTTTTTTGGAAATGGATATTTCTGTAATAAACCGTCTAAATAAAAAATCCCTATACCGGAAGGACATTTGAATAAAATTTTACATGTACATCTTCGTAAAATATATTTTTCACTCATTTTCTATTGTGTAGAACATAAATAATAACTTTTCTTCCAAATTATCTTTTTTTGGATATGGATATCTCTATCAGAAATTCTCCAAACCAAAAAATTGAAGTCGAAGATGTATAAAAAATTATTTTTTCAAAATTAATGAGAGTCTATTCAACTAAAAATTTCTAATTGATAAATTATCTACATAATACCATAATTTTAATTATTCTTATGTGAAGTCATTTGAAATGATTGAAATAATTGATATATACATGAACATATGTAGCGATATATTGTAGATAACTGACTTTTAACTAAATGTGATAAAAAAGAAACATAATATTACAAACATACTTTGTTAATTAAATATTAACTTCTATAATCATTTAAAAAAAATAACAAACACATTCTTAATGTTGTTTTATAAAACAAGAAACTCTTGTCTTCATACCACATATGTAAATGTATGTGTAAATAAGAAATATATATTTTTCTGTTATAAACTGAATATTTTATGTAATTGTTATTATTATACATTTTTTATTTTCAATTGTTAATTATTGTTAATATTTATTGTTGATTATTCTTGTTTTTTATCGCTTATCATTGTTGATTTTTATTGTTGATAAATGATGACTTCGTTCTCAGTCCCGAGAAAAGTGGACGTAGTATCGAGGAGCGAAGCCGGCACAACTGACGCCACTGAGCCCAGAGGCTTCCTATAGACAACACGGCATATATTCTGTCACACTGCCAATTGCGTTGTTCTATAACATTAAATCTAAAGTTAATTGTAGTCATAATTAAGTTCACTAAGACAGATAGTCGAAGTCTATTAAAGTCAAGTTCAGACAATAAGTCGTCAGAACTGTTGTCTGGCAAGAAGATTACGTTTTCCAAGACAAGAAAAAGACATCGTAGAGAGGTCTAGTCAACTGCAAAAAACATCGTGATCCTGTTCAGAAGTCCAGAGTCCGCGGAGTTGCACCCGGTGGCCAGCGTTGCTTTCCAAGAAGTCAATAGGAACGAGTGTGTTCCACGTAAGTCCAGCCAGTGCGATTGAGGGTGATTGACTTAGACTAAAATGAGTGGCTTGTTATTGACACAATTGCACAATTACTCGGGTTGTAGTTAAATTTGGGCGTTGCCGTACCTTAAATGGTTTCATTCTTACTTTAATTGAATTCATGTAAATTCTACTTATCATTATTATTATTATTAAGGATGCTATAATTGCATACCATTCAAATAATTATTATAAAAGTCTCATCGTAAAAATCTATGCAGTCTACTGAACATTGTCAAAGTCATGAACTGTTCATTTGTATGAAATTGAAGTCTTTGATCAGATAATATCATACGATCATTTATTAATTTTATATTTAATTATTCGAATACTAAAAGTCAAATCAATGTTAAACTTTTTGTTAATTTGAGAGTCAATCAAGTCATATTTCAAGAATATTATAGTTTCAATATGTTGAGAATTAATTAATTCGCAGTTTGAATTTGCCAGCTGACAGGAACTTCGGCGGCCATCTTGGGACTGGATCGATAACTAATTGACCAAATAATCCATATTTTTTAATCTAGTCACTCATTTGATTAATTTTCTGTGTCCCTTCTGACTAATGAAGTTCCTGTCGCCATTCTTTCTCTATTCTCGTTAACGTGTACACGCCTGTTCTGACTTGAAGGGCCCAAGTCAGTTAGTCGGGAAATATTCAAAATTGTTTAATGCCGGACTTGTCCACCGACGCGTCAATCAACTCACTGGACCAATCATCGGGAAGTATTTCCCTCATGGCCCAGACGGCAACTCTGGGCAGATCACGGTCTCCAACTACACTCAACAGTCTACTCAACTTCATCTCAACCAGGGCACGTGCGATGGAGTCAGCTCAAGATGCAGCTCGTCAGGCAAAACGATGGCCTACTCCAGTGATCACCAGAAAGTCCAGATCACAACAACAGTCCACACACCAGCAGACAACTCAATCGCAGACGACTCGAGCCTCCAGGCATGGGGCTCAAAAACGACAGGCTGATTACCCATGTGACCAGTGCAGCAGTCGAGATCATTACCTAGTAGACTGCCAATCGTTTGCAGCTCTCTCTCAACTGGAGCGATACAACCTGGTCCTCTCAGCACGGCTGTGCTTCAATTGTTTAGGCCACCACTCGATCCAGGTGTGCCAGTCTGACAAGCGGTGCAGTGTGTGCAATCAAAAGCACCACACAATGATTCATACACCCAGAACAGCATCCTTACGGAAGAGAGGGTATGGCCCAGGCCGAAAACTGCAGCCAACTCAACCACTTCAACAGCCATCAACCTCCTAGCAGTGTGATCACACTCATTTATCTGAACAGACTTCTCACCAGGTGAATCATCATCACAGTCAACTCTGATGATGCTTCAGTCAACTCTTCAAGTGGTGGTGTGATCACTCAACATGCAGACAACTCAACAATCAATGGTGATGAATCATGTCAATCTATATGCGCTAACAGGAGTAGAGAACGCTTCTCTGATGACTCGACAGAAGGGATGACTTTAGCACATGAGGTTTCGGCCTCAGAAGGGTTGAGGGTCCTGGAAGAAGAGTCAGAAGGTCTCGTTCGATCTCCTACAGCTGAAGAAAAAAGTCAAACTCACGCTAGTCAACTCTCAGACGACTCACATGATTCAACAATCACCAAGAACAATACAGACAACTCAGAGATTCATGGAAGATTCTCTTCAGCACTTAGAGCAGCAGAAGAAACATGTATTAATGAGTCTTCAGGTCAATCAGACAGCTCAGGAGTCTTACTCGCCACAGCCAATGCAGTATTACTCTCAGCTTCCAGTAAGACTCCTAATAGACTCAGGGTCTGAGCTGACGTTCATCTCATCAAGTGTGGTAAAGACTTGTCATCTCCAACGTCGTCCATCAGTGATATCAGTGCTGGGAATTGGTAACGCACCAGCTGTACAAACTAGAGGAGTGACAACAGTGACACCTAGCTCAACTCACACACAGGAGCAAGTTACAATTAATGCTCATATACTCAAATGTGTCACTGGTACTTTACCAACCAGACAACTCAAGGAAATCAACTGGTCAGCTTTCAACTCTCTTCAACTTGCTGATCCAGACTACTCAACTCCAAGACCCATTGATATCTTAATAGGAGCAGATTGTTATGGTCTGATTGTGAATGCGGGCATCAAACAATTTCCTCAGTCATCTCTAATAGCCCGAGATTCAATCTTTGGATGGATGCTCATTGGAATTCCACAACAGACAAGATGCTCAAGTAAGAGAACTCATCATGCAGCAAGGGTCAGCTCATACCAGCAAGTATCAGATCTCTTGACAAAATTCTGGGTTCAAGAAGAAGTTCCAGATACTTCAGCCAGCCAACTCAGCCCAGATGATCAATCTTGTAAAGATCATTATGTTACGACTCATTCAAGAGATCAAGATGGGAGATATATTGTGAGAATATCGCTAAAAGCATCACCATCTCTTCTAGGCGACTCATCAGCGAGAGCTCATTAGTGTTTACGACACATGATCAGACGACTCACGAAAAATGACTCATATGCACAACTCTATCACAACTTTATGCAAGAATATGAGTCACTGAATCACATGAAACAAGCCAAGGCAAGTCCAGTCAACTCTCCAGTGTATTATTTGCCTCATCATGGTGTCTTATTTGAGTCCACCTATTATCATCCTCATCAAAAACATCCCGAAAAAAAAATTCCGGCAAAAAGATTCCCAAAATTAATAGTCTTAAAAAAAAAATCCTAGTAAAAATATCCCGAAAATTAATATTTCTAAAATATAAATTGACATAAAACACAGTACTTCTATTTGCATTTTTCATCATTTTATTTTTTTCTTCACCAACACAAAAAAAAATATTTTTTTTCTATGATATTACACATGAACATTTGGTCAGTCACATTATTTTAACAAAATATAAATCTTTGCTTTATTTATCACATTAATTAATAATTCAAATATTAATTACTTTTAACATAAAATGATACATAAATCTTTGTTTTTCTTGTTACTAGTTATTAACGTCATCAAAGTAAAAATTTACTGCCAATTATTTAGATTTCTTATAAAAAAAAACTTTAATATTAATATCTCCATGGAAATTGTACTCGTTTTAGAAAAGACAAAACATCATTTAAGTCATAATTTTAAACTTTTTTTTTGATTTTTGATTTTTTATCACAATACTTCTCGAGCTGGAAACCAGTCCAGACTGGAAAAAAAATAAATACAATTCTTCAGCTTTCTCAACAGCTGCCAGCCTTCAACATATAATATTTTTTTCTTGTTCTATTCATTTGTACATTAGTATATTAGCACAAAAAAATTCAATATGAATTTCTTAATATAAATTATGTGCAATTCCTCTTAGAAAAGACAAAACATCATTTAAGTCATAACTGTCAATTATTCTTTTGATTTTTGATTTTTTATCACGATACTTTCGTCTTTTTGGTTTACTTTCTGCTCCACTAACAAAACGTTCCAACTTGACATCGGTTAATACTTGCTCATTTCTTAATAAATCAATAAATTTCCAAATATTTAAGTGACATGCTTGTGCACGAGTTTTTAATGCATTGTGCCAAGCTTCAACATTATTATTGGTTCTTCCAATCCCATTGATAGTATTACTATACTGATTCCATAACGACAATGCATATTTTCCACCACCACGACGTTTCCGACGATTCATTTTACCTAACCATGTGTTCTCATAAGAACTTAGCAATTCTTCTAATTCACTCTCATGTTTAATATAAAAATCAGTTGATATTAATTCATCATATGCAGCTACAACATCACATTCCGGCACAAATGGTATTGCGAATTACATTTTTAAATTTAATGCATATTCAGAGTCCTTGGCATAATTGTTCTGTAAATGGTAAGCCTGTATTTTTCGCCAGATAGCTTGAGTATAATAGAAAAAGCAGCCTTTGACAAGAACATTAGGAAACACTTCTTCGACAGCATGTATAAATGCTATTTCAAAATCTACTATTATTGTCTTTGGATCTAAACGTGGCTCAAGTATTTGTAATTGTTTCAATATTTCAACATAAACAGATTTAAATTTACCAGTAACAAGAACATAAACAAGTGGCACAACTGCATCATTCACATTTGCATGTATAGTATATAATTGATAAAATATTCGCGGAACAGTTTGGAATGTTCCATCTGCATACCACACTTCAGCATTTCTTAGTACTGATAAGTTATTGTCAGTCGTAAATATCAGTAAACGTTCACTACTAGCCACATTTGAGTCCTTAGAATCATATTTTAAAAAATCAATTTTTCGTTCACTATACACGCGATAACCTTCAGGAATAGTAAGATTATCAACAGACTTTGGATTTGGTAATATCACATTAACGTTCTTATTACGAACACGTTGTACAGTCTTTGCTAAACTGTGAGGACTAGCTAGTTGACATAATACAGCAGGATCAACATTCTCAAGCAATGACGCAACAACAACAATACTGGGTTTTGTAGAACGCTTAGCCTTTCTCTTCAATAGTTCCATCACTTTTAGTGATTTCAATCTGGCAGCATCTGGTCTATGATGATGGCTATTTATCATTTTGATTATTTTACCTATAAAATAAGTTTATTTATTTTCCATAAACAATCAGATTAACGATTATGAAAACGAACTATATTAGATATGAATCTTACCATCCTTGTCTTTAGAGGTTGTGTGAATACGAGCCAGACATTTACCGCATGGTCCTCCAGCGTAAAATTCACAACGCCAAATGTATTTATTATTAACTCCATCGTGATGATATACATATATGTAACCGTCTTCATCCACAAGATTATTTCCACCTTTTTGATTCACCACAAATTTTAATGGCATTGTTATATGTTATAATTATAGTAATATGAAATGTTCACCACCTTTCTTCTTACTAACCTATCCATCTCTACACATACCAATATAATGAAATCTAAATTAAGATGTCTTCTTGAAATCTGACCCAGGCGACATCTCATATTTATTGAACTATTTATCAAATGACCTAAATATATCGATATGACAAGAATACTCACTAGGTTCATTATCAATATCAATCGATATTACAGAAATCTACAACACAGTTATGCAAAACAGTATGATACTGATTTGTTTAATGTTTTCCATACATTTCATAGCGAAAATATTCCCAAAATTAATATTCCTATTCCTAAAAAGAAAAATCCTAGCAAAAATATCCTTTATATCTGCCCTTAGAGACTTTACACGGTAATGGGTACTACAGAATTTAATTGAGACTAATATTGAATCAAAAATACTTATGCTTCTATTATAGTTTTCCATACATTTCATGGCTCGGGAACATTATTTATACGGGATTTAAGTATAGGGAACATTTTTTTTGAAGATATTTTTGCCAGGACTTTATTTCCAGGATTTTTTTTTGGGAATTTTTTTAGGTGATCCCGTCTTATTTATGGTGTAGTATTGAATGGCTCTAGTCCATCTTCTAGTGGTCTGTCAGTGAACGATATTCAACATACTGGTGCCAAAGTCCAGAACGACATTGCAGACGTACTCATTTGGATCAGACAGCATAAATTTGTGTTTACATCAGACATCACAAAGATGTACAGGCAAATCAAAGTCCATCAAGATGATTGGGATCTCCAGCGAATCCTGTGGGTGGACGCGCACTCCAAGATAATCCCATATCAACTCACAACAGTCACGTATGGTACGAGATCAGCTCCATTTCTGGCTGTTCGTACAATGATACAGCTCGTAAAGGATGGGGGTCATAGATTCTCTCTAGCTGTTGATCCACTATCGAAAGGAAGATATGTGGACGATATTTTCGGAGGTGCTGACACAGTGAGTCAGACAACTCTGCATGGCAGGTGGCTTCCCATTGGCGAAATGGCACAGCAACTCAATTCAATTCCTTCAGTCAATCACAGACAACTCATCAGAAGAGCAGATCCACTCATTTGAGAGCAGTAAAACAAAATTACTTGGGCTCTCGTGGATTCCAGCGAACGACTCATTTAAGTTCAACTCAATACCTCCTCGTGAGAAGTCCAAGCTCACGATGAGAATCATTTTATCAGAAGCAGCACAACTCTACGATCCACTTGGATTTCTAGCACCTTTCATTGTCAGAGCAAAGATGTTGCTACAAGAAATCTGGCTAGATAAACTGTCATGGGATGACCAAGCCCCAGATCATATTCTCACCAAGTGGACCAGCTTCAGATCAGAACTCTCACACGTTTTAGACCTCTCAATTCCACGATGGTTAAAGATTACTCAGAAATCTACCGTGGAACGTCATGGCTTTTCAGACGCCTCACAACTAGCTATGGCAGCAGTTATTTATATACGGGCTACTCATCCAGATCATGGAACTTGTTCAACTATAGTCTGCTCAAAGTCTAAGGTTGCTCCATTGACGAAGATGTCTATTCCTAGACTAGAACTCACCGCAGCATTGCTGCTTGCCAGACTAATCACTTATGTAAGGAGCAACTTAGACATTCACCCAACTCAAACGGTATGTTGGACAGACTCCTCAGTAACATTGACCTGGATTCAGTCTCACTCATCCCGTTGGAAGGAGTTTGTAAGAAACAGAGTGTCAGCAATTTAAGAGCTCACTCCAATCAACGTTTGGAGGTTCGTACCTGGCAAACAAAATCCAGCGGATCGTGCTTCTCGAGGTATCAGCATATCCCAGCTTCGGAAGCACCCCCTGTGGTGGACAGGTCCACAGTGGTTAACAGCAGACGAATCATCATGGCCAACTCAATCATCAGTGTACGATTCAAAAGCTCAGCAAGAAGAGCGACCAGTGATCACGCTAAATACTCAGACAATTCACCACGATTATCATTGGGATATGATATACAGACATTCTCGTCTAATCAAATTGCTCAGAGTGACTGCAATTTGCTTCAGGTTCAGCCAACTCCTCAGACGAGTACCTCAGTCATCTCTTACCTTTCCTCTCACGTCACGAGATTTAGAGAGAGCAAGGATTTTTTAGATAAAGGCAACTCAAGAATCGTACTTCTCACAGGAAATCAAGCAGATCAACTCAAATTCACTGCCCGTCTCACACCCCCTTGCACGATTGACAGCATTTATTGACACTCAAGGAGTCATACGTGTTGGAGGGAGGTTAGCAAATGCTAGCTTGGACCAAGAAGAAAAGCATTCTGCGATCAGAAAATTCATCTTTCCAGACTAATCATTGCATATGCTCATGAAAGAACATTGCACGGAGGGTGCAGGCAATTCTGAACCTCATACGATCATCGTACTGGATCATAGGCGGACGACTCCCAGTACGATCCCATATTTATCATTGTATGAAATGTGCTCGTTTACGTGGCGAACGAGCGAAGCAGTTAATGGGTCAATTGCTGTTATCAAGAATCACTCCAGCCCGACCATCTGCCGTCTGTGGTGTGGATTACGCTAGTCCCATCACGCTAAAGACTTGGAAAGGCAGAGGCGCCAAAACATCTAAGGGTTGGATGTGCATTTTTGTGTGCTTCGTTACATCTGCACTTCATTTGGAGATTGTAACAGATTATTCAGTTGACTCATTCATTGCAGCGTTCAGACGGTTCACTGGACGTCAAGGTGTCTGCAGAACTCTCCACAGTGATTGTGGCACTACATTCCAAGGCGCAGACACGCTCATCAGACAACTCTTCAAGGAGGGGACTCAACAGGCCAGTCAACTTGCAGCTGTATTTACAAAGGATGGAACTGAGTGGAGGTTTAATCCACCAGCTGCACCACATATGGGAGAAAAATGGGAAGCTGCAGTCAAATCTGTAAAGTTTCATCTTAACAGAACTATAGGCGACTCACTCTTTACATATGAAGAGCTTTCCACACTGCTTGTCCAGATAGAAGCAGTCCTCAATTCCAGACCACTCGAACCTCTCTCAGCCGACTCTACAGACATCTCAGTGTTAACTCCAGCACACTTCTTGGTTAGTGAACCGCTTGTAACATTGCCAGAGCCTTCACTGAAAGATGTGCCAATGCCACGCTTGTACAGGTGGCAATTTATTCAGCAGCGACTCCAATCGTTTTGATCAACGTGGTCAAAACAATACCTTCAGCAGCAACTCGCCATTTCCAAGTGGAAACACCCCCCTCACAACATCAAAGTCGGCTCACTTGTACTACTCACTGATGAGAGGTTCCCACCAACAAAGTGGCCTCTCGCCAGAGTGATTGAGGTGTTCCCAGGAGCAGACGGACTCATCAGAACAGTCAAACTCAAGACAGCAGCAGCAGAACTCGTCAGACCACTCACCAAACTAGTTATCTTACCATACACTCCACCAGCAGAAGATCAGTAAAGGCGTTGCTGATGGTGGGACAATGTTCTGACTTGAAGGGCCCAAGTCAGTTAGTTGGGAAATATTCAAAATTGTTTAATGCCGGACTTGTCCACCGACGCGTCAATCAACTCACTGGACCAATCATCGGGAAGTATTTCCCTCATGGCCCAGACGGCAACTCTACGGCCCTAGTGACGCCAACAAGCACGCGGTCGAGCACTTGTGGCGTCAGTTAGCTCTAGGCAAATCACGCGGTCAACTCCGTAGAAATTTACGCAGTCAATTCGCAGTTTTTGCAGTCAGCTCACCTTCCTTAGAGAGAAAATACGATCAACCAGACTCAGACAACTCTAGTGAACATCAGTAAACCATAAAAATTACTCTCATCAGTGCAAGTGGTCCAGTAAAGTCAGTTGTAGTGTCTTTGGGCGCGAAGCTGAACTGGCGTCGACGCCATAGTGCCTCACAGACATTCACATATACATCACACACTCGAACAACTCAGGTGTATAGTGTGCATGTTGCTCTTCACTGATTGAGACTCTTTTTGGTGAAAAAACAACCATCAGACAATTCTTAAGTGTAAAAATAATTAAATTACGGCCAACTCACTGAAACGTAGTGATTAGTGTTTTCTATTGTTCTACTTTAAGTGTTATTTGTTAATGATAATGATGATAATACTGTGAACTGTACACCATTCTTCACATAGCATATTAGTCCATGATTATGTTTATCACGATCGACTCTTAAAACAATATTGAAATTTTCAATGTCAACTACATTCCTTTCACAGTCAAAGATTTTCTAAATACTAAGATATCCGCTCGCAAATACCATGTATCAGAAATCATATAATTAAGGTGCTTTCGTAATGTACCAACGTTTTGATACTCTATTTTTGTTCCTATGACGGTCTCTAAGTTATTGTATGACAGTTTCAATGATTTTTTAGATCTCAGACGTTCTAATTCAACAAGTGCTGGATTTACAGCCTTTGAATTTTTAGAAACATTTGGTGATTTGAATTTACTAATTATAAATAGTCCACTTCATTCGGTGACACGGCTGAAGGCAACATACAGCATCGATAAAGTTAAATTTATGTCATCAGTTTTCATAGTTCCAAGAGCTAGATGATTTAGAGCATTGATAAATGCTAGATCATTCTTTTGATGCATAATTTCTGTTAGTTCACGAAAGTCAAAATGATCCCATAAAGGATTAATATGGATAGTGTATAGTAGTAACGAGTGACTAGTAACTAGTAACTGTCAATTCATTCTAAAATAGGCATTCATTTATTGTTGATTTAAGGCCGTAAGAGCAGCCGTGGAGTAGTTTGATTTGATCTTTTCCTAAGTTATTCTTATTTGAACTGTCGTAGATGTGCACGTTGCCACGACCGTCATATTTTGTACAAATCCAGTGACCTACAATGTTGACACTAATATTACCGCTATAAATAATCTGAATATTATTTTCAGATCTAGGTATTGCTTGTAAATTATATAAAAATTCACCTATGAATCCCATAAAACTAAACCAATAAAAACTATAAAAACCATACAATTTGGTGTTTGAGAACTATTTTCAGGAACTTCTAGCATCCAACCTGTTGTTTGTGCTTTTCTCTTATCATTACAGTCCATTAAGTTTAGTTTTCTCGTCCGGTCGACTCGAAGTCAGAACAACGTCATTCTAATTCTTTTCGGACAATCTTAAAGTTTAGAGTAAATTATTAGTGCTAGTACTATTCTAAATCACCAGAAACATTCAAGCTTCATTTTACAATCAAAATCAACTAACATTTCAAGACATTTCATAGTAAATTCAAGAAATTGCATTAAATTCATTTTGCATTGCATTGATAGGCTAACGCCACGTGCACAATCATATTCTTGCTCAACTTGAGAAGCGTGCTGAGCTCGTGTGGGAGGTCAATAATACCACACACACCAAGTTGAGTATTTTCTAGACATTCAATTCGAATTCAGTAATTACAATTGACATTCAGTGATTTCTAAAGACATTCATTTCTTGTATTCAGTGACAAAAGTTGCTCAGTGTATATTGTGTACCTGTGAGTGCTGAAAATAAAGATATTATATTTTTTATAAAACCTGACTTTCATTTGCTCTGTTCCGGCACAATCATCCCTATCCTTAAGCGGTTAGGTTAATTCACAAGTTGAGATTTTCTCAACACAATAAATTAAATTCCATTTTGTTATAATTGATCTTATATTCCATTTAAGGGGAACCTCACTGATCTTTAGAGTCATCCATCCAACATAGGTGAGAGAGATCGCCCTCAATAAAAAATGAAAAGAATCTCCACCTCATCGTATTTCAAATGGAAATTCAAATATTAGAAAATAGCTCCCTTTCTTCAAAGACATACTCACTTCCACTTGATGGGTGCAATGGCGCTGATACATTTGACGATACTCGGGGACACACAGGTGCTGGTGCTGGTGCTAAAAGCTGATATTTTAGCTTGTTAATGTCAAATTATAATAAATGATAAAACAGACTACATGACTTCCATCAAGAATCATTTGTAAAAATGAATCTGTGCTGCTAATTGTTGAATATTGTCAAACAATATTCACTATCATTCAACATTAGCAGCACAAATCCATTGTTACAATGACTTTTGATGAAAATCATGTAACCTATTTTATTACTTATTATAATTTGACATTGAAAATTCTATCAAACTAAAATGTCATCTGAAATTTCCAAAATAAAAATAAAATAAAATTTTCATTTTTTATTAATTTATAAATATGTTAAGGTTAATGTGTAATGAAATTAAAATAAATTTACTATCAGTTAAAACGGAATCTTAAAAATCAAATTAATTACATTGAAGTAGTAAAAAAATCATTTAAAATTGAAAATATAATACATGAATTAAATTGAATATAAATTTAATTAGAATTCTTACCTTACCCCACTCAGCCAAATGATATCTAAAAGATATCCATTAGATATCTTACCTTAAGAGACTGATATCTGACAGATATCTGATGCGCTGGTTCCAGAGCTCTACAAGATACCTGAAAAAGATATCGGATAGATATCGAGTAGATATCGTATGGATACCAAATCTTATTTTTTTGAATATAGTGTAAGGATATTAAAGAAGCAAAAAAAGGAGGAAAATTATTCTTTAATAGCGGTTTTTATTAAAATTTATGATTTTAAATAATATAATTAATTTTTTTTTTGTTTTTTCTATAAAATTTTTTGGCAGGATTACACAGACTTATAACAATGATTACAACATACAACTTCAAAAGTTTTAACTTTCATTCTGATCTACTAATAAAAGAAGATATATATTGAAATACTGTTTAAAATATGAAATCGGCCCGTCTATAGAGGTAAGGGCACTCTCCAGATAACAAATTTCCCCATAAGCCAAAACACATGGCTTCTGGGTTTTTTCTGGCCCTCAAACAATAAACACTCTCCGCATCTGGAGTTTTTCCACTCTACCATCTACTCCCTCTCTAGGCTCCTTTTTCTCCCTCCAAACAACAAGGGAAATCCTTTTCCCTGCAAAAAAAGGGCGAACTCAACCAGTTCTTGTTCGGTGCCTGTCTGGAGCAGCTCGATTGCTCTGGCAGATGTGGTTTTCGTGTCTTTGTAGTCAGTACTGTGTTTGTGTGCTTTGCTGAATTCAAAAACATTGCTATTTCTTATCAAGTGACCTCCTACAACACAAGTAGCATCACTAGCGGTGAGTTCAACTCCTGGACTCTCCATCGAGAAGTCTCCGCCAGAGTCTCTCTTACATTGAGTTGAGTTTTATCCCAGGACACTTCTTTCTGTCTAAAATCTCCGCTAGAGACAATTTGCCGTTAACTTAGAAGTCTTCGCTAGAGACATATTCCTAACTCGCTAAGTCAAATGAGTTGATACCCTAGATCAACTCTTCTAACTTCCGACAAGTTTCCAGCTTCCAATCTAGAAGACGTCATTTACGCTAGTTTGTCTTGCTAAGACACGCCTATTTTCTTCAACATTCCAGTGCTCTTATCAACGATTGCTGACGACCGGGTCGATCACAGGCAGCTTGCAGACGTGAAGAAGTACCAGTCAACACCTTGCCTGTTTCCAGCGAACTGAATTGTGAGAACTTCGTGTGCTGTGACTGTACTAACTCTAATGCAAATAGATTATCATCGTGGAAAATAACTGCTCATTGACTGATCCAGCCTCATTCATGGTACTCTTATTTTTCAACAAATACCAATTAGAATTTTCATGAACTTCATGCCATCCACTTTAGTGATATTGTGAGCACCACTCCAATTAACTTCGTATGCTACGTGTTCATTCAAAATACCGAGCAAAGCACGTTTTGTATGTTGTACATAATCCTCACCACCAATTTTTTTTTATAAATGTACGCTGTATTCCCACAAACAAGGAAAAATCATACGTTGGAAAGATAAATAAAATTATTTGAAGAAAAAATAATTTTTGAGTTTAGTAAATCAAATATTAATGGAGCAAGAAAATTGCAGTAAATTTAATAGTTAAATGCATTACAAATGTTAATGTCATTATTTTTAAAGATAATATTTTCCAAATAAATAAAATTACATACTATAAACAAGAACTGAAAAAAAAATATTTGCCAATACTTTCAAAATCGATTTAAAGAATAATAAAATATGTGCAGTGTTGGAGAGTTTGCAGTGCATTCAGTTCTGCACAATTAATAATTAGTCA